AGAAGCAGAGACTACAGGGTCATCAGGTGTAGACCCGGGCACAACAGCTCTCCCCAGTACAGCTGGTTCACGACCTAGTACGCAGGGGATCACTAGGTCTTTGGAGACGACCCCTCCTGTGAGAAACTCTGGCACCACAGAGCCAACGTCTGTAGAAGCGGAGACAACAGGGTCATCACGTGTAGACACTGGCACAACCTCACAATCTAGATTACCTGAGTCAACACCCAGTACAGTGGGGGCCACTAGGTCTTTGAAGACGACTCTGCCTTCTGTGAGAGGCTCTGGCACCACGGGATCATCGTCTGTGAAGGCAGAGACCACCGGGTCGTCACGTGTAGACACTGGCACGACCGCACAATCTAGACTATCTGAGTCAACACCAAGTACACAGGGGACCACTGGATCTTTGAAGACAACGCCGCCTTCTGTGAGAGGCTCTGGCACCACGGTATCGTCGTCTGTACAAGCAGAGACCACCAGGTCATCACGTGTAGACACTGGCACGACCGCACAATCTAGACTCCCTGAGTCAACACCCAGTACACCAGGGACCACTAGGTCTTTGAAGATGACACTAACTTCTGTGAGAGCCTCTGGCACTATGGGGTCGTCGTCTGTAGAAGCAGAGACCACCGGGTCATCAGGTGGAGACCCGGGCACGACAGCTCGTCCCGGAACAGCTGGTTCACTGCCTAGTATGCCAGGGACCACTAGGTCTTTGAGGACGACGCCGCCTTCTGTGAGAGACTCTGGCACCACAGGACCATCGTCTGTAGAAGCAGAGACCACAGGGTCATCACGTGTAGTGACTGCAACGAACTCACAATCTAGATTATCTGAGTCACCACCCAGTACAGTGGGGACCACTAGATCTTTGAAGACGATGATGCCTTCTGTGAGCGGCTCTGGCACCACAGGTTCATCGTCTGTAGAAGCAGAGACCACCGGGTCATCACGTGTAGACACTGGCACGAGCTCACAATCTACACTATCTGAGTCAACACCCAGTACACCAGGAACCACTGGATCTTTGAAGACAACACTAACTTCTGTGAGAGCCTCTGGCACTATGGGGTCGTCATCTGTGGTAGCAGAGACCACAGTTTCATCACGTGTAGTGACTGCCACGAACTCACAATCTAGATTATCTGAGTCACCACCCAGTACAGGGGGGAGCACTAGATCTTTGAAGACGACGACGCCTTCTGTGAGCGGCTCTGGCGCCACAGGACCATCGTCTGTAAAAGCGAAAACCACAGGGTCATCACGTGTAGACACTGCCACGACCTCACAATCTAGATTACCTGAGTTAACACCCCGTACGTTGGGGACTACTAGGTCTTTGAAGACGACGCCACCTTCTGTGAGAAACTCTGGCAC